ATGACAGCTTTCACTTGGTGCTGACAGTTGCTTTGCCATAATTACTGTTTTCATTCTTCCTATATCAATAGGATGGGTTCCTGGCAACTGAGGTTGGTATTTGTGTTACCTTTCAGACCAGCGTGTGTGAGTCCAGCCATTTAATTTAATAAAACTTCTTTTGGCATGTCTCCTGGCACTTGTCCAGTTATATATTCATTTTTCTCAGCTGCTGAGTGTGCTCAGATACTGGGGAGAAAGATTAAGAGCTTTTAAGGGTGTGAGGAGTGGGGAGAAAAATAACTTTCAATGTTTGTCCAGAGCTGCTGCAGTTGTCTCTGCCAACAGGCTGCCATCAAGCAGGGTCCTCTGCGCTGAAATGCATTTTCAAGCAATAGCTTCTTGGGTGCAGTTGCGTTCTGGGGCTTTTTCCTCAGTAATCCAGGGTATGATTTCATTCCTGAAGGAATGTGTTCAGGGCTAAGGGCCATTTAGGCTGAAAAGACTGTTGGATGCAATTGCACCCCAAAAAAAAAAATTGTAAAGGAGCTTCAGGTCTTGATGTGAGAATGGGGAAAGAAGACACTTTGTAGGAATTGGTTTGGGTAAGAGCAAACCTGTGTGCGAGCAGGTTCAGTGAAGTGCACACTGCTGGGAGATGTCCTGCCACCGCTTCCTTCCCAGGCTGGCCAAACTCAGCAGCACGGTGACTCCTTTGTGGGTCTGTTCTGGTTTTAAAAGAAAATGTCTTTCACTTGATAAGTTAGGATGTACTTTCAGAACTCAGTCTCAACTTGCTTTCATTCAAAGTGTATGTTAAAACTGGGAGCTAGGAAAGTGCATATGCGGTGACCAGATTTGAATGTGTAGGAAGCTGTAGGTCCTAGCAGGGCTCTGTGGGGCCGGGAGTTTTGTGGCCTTTTGCTCTTCATCCTCAAAACAGAGCTGCATCCACATGTGCTCCATGGTCAAGCCTTGATGGAGAAATTGCTTGATTTTTCAGCTTACTTTTCTGAGCAATGGTTAACATAGAAAAGCTATCTAAGTGTGTGGGAAGAAGTTTCCCTTTAATTCCTACAACATGGAAAGCTTCTTCACTTTTGAAGAGTAGGAAAAGCAAGGATGAGATTATCATGGTGAAAGGTAGCTTTAAAAAAAATGAGTCTGTCATTTTAGAAAACAACAGTATAATTGCTCTCATGCACACACAGACCAGCATTGCGTTTGGCAGGCCAGCAGATGCAACTGGAATAAAAAGGATAAATCTGGTGACAAGCAGAAAGCTTCGGGTCCCACAAGATGACAAAAAATACTGCAATGCTCCACATTGTGCCAGACCATAATCTTTCTCTGTCTCATCTCCTCTCTCTGTTTGCTCCTTTGTGCATGGTTTTCTCCTATTTACTGTTATGCCAAATACCTTCATGATCATAGGTGGGAAGTGGGGTTTTTTTTTTTCAGCTGCAGCTTCTTTTCTTCCTTTTTCCCTGCCAATTCCTGGAGCTCATATTTGAACAGCAGCACACACATTTATTTAGAAGACTTCCTTTTCATGGTCTGCCACCGTTGTTTAAAACATGGGTTTGCCAGAAGATCCCTGCTGCCAGAGATACCAGAGGCAGCCTATGCCTTGTTGGGGAGGGAAAGTTTCTTCAATACTCTATTGTGAAATAGATTTACCATCAATATTCCCCAAAATACCTGCACAGTCTCTAAGGGTCTTACTGGAAAATACTTTTTCATATTCAAAAAAATTCCTGTGGTGGGTTTCACCCTGCTGAGCACCGTTTTCAGAACAGTCTGTACTTGAATTGGCCATAGCATGATTGAAAGGATTTCACAAAGTCTTCCGGTGGCTACCATGCAGGGGGCTTTTATGTCCCAGCAAACGTTTCTCTCAATCAGCAGGGTTGCACCTACCAGCCCACTGGCTGCCTTTCAATCTAAGTGAGCAGTACAGCTCGTTATCCAGACGAAAGGGAATTAACCTCGCAAGTGAGGTGTGACGGAGCTGGGCTATCCAGTGCCTGGGTGCTCCAGCTGAGACGGGAGCTGCACGGATCATGGCACTTGCTGTCGCAGGGAGGGGGCTGGTGTGGAAGGTATTCTCAATATCTCCCCCTAGTTGCTCTCATTTTTGGTGTGGAAGCTAATAGTGAATTTTTGCATGGTTTGGTGTTTAGTGCTGTGCTTGCATGTGCTGTGAACTCCAGGCACTTGGATAGCATTCTCACTAGAGAATTGCCAAGATGAAAGTAAGGAAGAAAAAACGTGGGATTAGGTATATGAAGCCATGCTGCCTTTGCTTTGCTGTCTCCGAGAGCGCAGTGCCTTCCACATCAGCTGGTGGCCCCAGGGACCCCTCAGCTTTCATACGGAGGGTCCCCTGGCTTTCTAGAGATGTAATCAATACGGCCCTTTCACTGCAGGCACCATCCTCCCTCCCTAGCACCAGGTTCTGGTTTTTGAGTAACTGAAGTTTGAAGTGGGCTCAATGGAAGCTGCTTCTCTCCTTTTCCTCTTTGGCTGAGTGCTTTTTTTCTCTTCTATTTGTCACTGGGAACAGTATCAGAGTACCATTTGCCCCCGTGAGACTGGGACACAGAAATGAGATTTCCTTATCAACTAGTTGTTTTCTCTTCCTTGCCAAGCACTCGCCTGTGCCTGTGTCTTTCCAGCTTTCTAAATCTCCCTGTTGCCTACCCTCGCTGTAGGTGCTGAGACCTCCACTTTTCCCCCCATTCAAAGCCCATACTGTGATCATGAAGGTGGAAAATGACTGTTTCTCTCATGGTGGCTGGTGAAGGGTCCTGTACATTCATCTTTTTCTTTCTCTGGTTCCTTCTCTACAGTCTCCTTTCGGCCTGCTTCAGGAGTGAACTCACGGACTCAAGGAGAGACCCTCCCAAACAGACCGATGCCATCCTAAAACATTCCAGCCCCCCAAACCCATCAGTATATCCATAAACTGAGCTGGTGGAGTTGCTTTGCCCAGCTGGTGGGACTAGGAACAGTGGGGCAAATACACAGCCTGATAGCAACCGAGTAAATAGTGAGAGTAATCTCCTGAAGGGACTCAAACTTTGCAAAAAAAAAAAAAACCAACAGACACTTCTACAGACCTCTTAGCTGTAGCCAGTAGCGTTGGGAGGTCAGGAACCACAATGTCGTCTGTCTTGGTGTTAACGTTTATCCTGGTTTTGTAACCTGTTGATACTCTTTCCTGTTACTTCTGTATGTGTGAAATTTGGCAGGGTTTCTCTGAGCAGGTCTCAATTTTAAATGCCTCTTGTCTTGTTTAAATTAA